ATTCTAAAATTTCCTTGATCGACGAAATCTTCAAACTGTTGTCAAGTTCCTCGAACTGAAACGAATAGTCGCCTTGTTGAGCAAAGCCAACTTTTGCCATCTCGTTGATGATCACCTTTTCCCCATCGGCTGTTTTCGTGAATCGCTGTATTTTAATCGGAGTGTGACTACGAGCGCTGTCGGCGAGTATTGGTCTTTTTTTGTTGGCATACAGCAACGCTTGGACACTCTTTTTCTCAGTCTGTAACACTAACGTAGAGTACTCCATTGTCTGCCGTCTATTTTTCTTTGTTGGCGAAAGTTTGTGCACATAAGCAATCAAGGACTCTTCTGCACCTCGTTCGTTAACTACGCTTCCCTTTCCCGCGTTCTCATTGTCACCCGTCTTAGCAGAGAACACGTCTTTAACAGCAGTAAAGCTATCTTCAAATGACACAGCAGTTGCAACTGCAGGACCCTTTTTAGTGTTTCCTAACGATTTCTTTTTCATATTTTTTGCCGTCTTCGCCGTCGAACCCGAACTATGCCCTCTTGCTGCCATTTTCGAAAAAGAACAACCATGTGTAATTGTACATATATATAAGACACAAACGACAAAACACGTGACTATATTTGCACCAATCTCGTTGACCCGAGCCTGCGTTCCCATAACTACTTCGTGTAAGGAACACATTATAGTTTGAAGCAGAAGGGTATTGGAATAAAATATAATTATAAAGCAGCCACGGATTTATAGATTCTTTTTGTTAGTCAAAAAAGACATGAATATGAAATGAAGCGAACTAAAAACATTCATGTCGAATGTCGATCGGTGGTATTTAAATACCTCGTCATTTTCTTGAAATACTTTCCTCTTTAGCTCTTTTGCTTATCTACCTTACTCTTCCATCCATCAGAATAAAATATATTGCTAGAATGTAACATCAATTTATATATTGCGTAGAATCTCAAAGATTTTCTCAATATTTCGAAACAACACTTGTCTCGCTGCTTCCTAGCATTGAATATACCGTCAAAATGATATCGGTACTTAATTGAATGCCCGTAATGCATAACATCGATTTATACAGTATATTGCGTAGATACTCAAAGATTTACTCAATATTCACGTCTAAAATGTTTATAATTTGAAAACAACACTGTCTCGCTCCAGCGCTCCTTCCTAGCATCGTCACGACATCGTGATCTACGGCTTGATAGGGCATGCGCATTTGCGTTGCTGAAGAAAAATGCGGTTTCCGGGGGAAAGATCCTTCACAAAACATAAGAAGGGAATGTTATAAAATTTACAAAAATTTACAATAACGACAACGATTCCTCGAAATTTTTGTGAACTTGGCAAAAGAACAAAAGAATATTTAAATAAAACAACTGAACTTGCCTAAATAACCTTCAAAGCACAATAAATCACTACAAACATAAATCGTATACACATTATACACCCCCCGGAAAGTTAACTCTATGACTGATTGACTGACTGACTGATGTGAATTTTCCCAGTCATCACAATAGTGCACAGTTTCAAAGAAACTCTGCACTAAAAATGACTCGACTCGTGCGAACAGCCCCATAATAACTCGACACGGACTCGACTTGCTGATTTTTCCCCTAAATGACTTGAGTCAAATCAGCTACAACTTGTACAGAATAAATTCATTAAAGTAATTGTGATTGTATTGCTTGGGAAGAACAATGAGTCCTTCATGTGAACAATGAGAACTTCGAAACTTTTTTATCGTAAATACATGGGGATTTGCACAGAATATATATCCCTGAAGGGTATAACTACTACATTTCTGTTTTTAGAAACAACGCTAGTGCCACAGTTTTTAAAATGGAGTCTCAAAATTTTGTGCACTTATATTAATTTTGACCAACTCTTTTCATTTTTGGTATTCAATATGAAGCGTTATATCATTTTAAAATAACTTACAAAGCGTGATTAATTAAAGTCTATTTTTGTTAATTCTGACTCCAGTTTCAAGTTATCCTAGCTGTATGTACGTTCACTCGATCAGCAGGCGTGATGAGACATCTCATGTGGTCGTACTTAATATTGACTAGAACTGTGATATTGGTACTATACAGCTAAGCTGCCCAGATACTGTTAAATTAAATGACTTAAGTAATTTGCTTAAAAAGTAAATTTGATTGCTAATTTCAGAATATACAAGCTACGGTAGTGAACCATTACAGAAAGCATGGAGTGGACTTGGTGATATTTCCTGACTGAAGCCAAGTTTAGCTATAATTGATTCGACTCGACTCGACTTAAACCAGCGACTCGACTCGTGTGAAACCGTTGACTCGACTCGAATCGATCAGAAACTGAAATGACTCGACTCATGACTCGACCTTTGAGTGACTCGACTCTCGGCTATTTACACCCGTGGAAACGAAAGCATTAGCGAAGTCTAAAGTTCATCAATAATCGCGGGCGTGGGTGACCAACGATGTTGGGGTGTTGGGTGGGTGGTCATCCCCACAGAACTAAAAAATATGGCGGACTGTCATGAATAGCGGACACTGATTGGCCCGATTAAAAGTTTGCATTATAACGACTGCATGACGACAGCGAAATAGCAAACAATTCTTGATTTGATTATTGATAAATTTCATGCAAATATATTTCATATTTGCTCGTATTTTTGCAAGATTTTGTAAATTTCAAAAGCCTTCACAGAAAGAAAGGGCGAAAGAATCGGCTAAAAGAAGGGAGCCGACATTAACGAAGGTAAGTTAGTTTCAAATATTGATTTTATAATTGCTTTAAAACCCGACGGCCTTTGGCTTTGCGTATATGAAACAACTAAACAAGACAGCATATAATTTCAGTGTATCTTTAATATTGATTCCCTTTTTTATTATATTGAATTTTTTAAATAAAAAAGAAGCAAAGTTATTTGCATGCGAGAATTTGAAATCATTTTATTGCAAACTCAAAGTTTATCGTAGTTTTATAAAGAACACTATGTTTGTGGTTGAATTTTACCTTGAATTGAAGCTTATATTACGTATAATAACATACCTAATATATATATATATATATATATATATATATATATATATATATATATATATATATATATATATATATATATATATATATATATATATATATATATATATATATATATGTTGGGAAATTGATAATTTTGTAATTAGATGTGATATTTTTAAGCGATTTTTCATTTGTAAAAATATTCTTAAAAAATTATCGCGTTACCATGACAACTACTTTGGATAGTTCATGTTCGGAAAATGCAATGGTTTTGTCAGAAAGGCGAGGGTTTCTGCATGTATGTATTTTCTGGTTAAGTTGTGAAGACATTCAACATGTAGACGCGATTCCGTGGATCAAACCAACAAAGAATTCCCCTCAAATTTCGAGATCTGCGAACAAGTGGCTTATAAAGTCGTGTTGACACTAGGTTTGTGGAAATGTAAACACTTTGGACCCTGGGCCTGGGCCTTATTTTCATGGCAACGTGTGCCCACAGTGAGAGATTAGCGGACAACCAGCGGACGACGTCACAACATACAGTATTACAATATACAAAATTAATTAAAAAATTCCAGGCCAGTCTCAAAAAACAGGGTAATGGTGTAAACGCGCCACATTTACCTTGGTTTGGCCAAGGCTAGGCCAAGAAATGTGGTGTAAACACGACTTTAGTGTTAGGACGGCAGTTAAGGCGGTTCTCCACTACAGAATTATTTCCCGTCAATGCCTATTTGCGTTTACTTGCAACTAAAGTCAATTCGCGTGAAAAAAATGCTTGTGGAAAACCTGTATCGGTTTGCATGGTAAGCATGAAACAACAGCTGCAAATTTGAATAAATAATTTCTTAAAATATTTTCAATAAGAAAAATAAGACCTCCACCATACACCGATAAGTATAGCTTTTACTAGATTTAAGCAACAATTTTCTAAAAATTAGTGTTATTTTTACGAAATAAGAATCGCAGAAATTTTTATTTCAAGCATTCATTACTTGTTAAGAGTTAAAAAGCGCAATGCGAAATTCATATTCTTATTTTAAGCACAATTAATTACTTAATTATTTTAACTTTTAAGTTAATTTGCTATATAACTTAAAAGAAGAAAACTTACTTCTCCATATGGCGGGACAATGTTTTTACTCACTACAACAATCGTTTAAATTCTATTATTATTTCTTCGCTTATTTATGCAAAAAAAAAATGCCCCCACTAGAGCAGCTCCCAGCACCCCTACTGCAATGCCAACGATTGCTCCTAGAAAGAGAAGAAATAGAGTTAATAATATAAGATACAGCATTCAAGGTCAAAATTTCTAGTAAGAAACCTATGAAATATACTTCTTTACGGAGAGTTGCTTTCAATTATATTTCACCCATCTGAACCGCACTAATTTCTTTTAGGGTCAATTCAGTATTCAAAAATGACTTTAAGGCGTTCTGATTGGCTCTTTCAGAAGTAACAGAGTTACTGCTGAACGAGTCATTGCTGGAAATCGTTAATGTTCTGGGGCCGATTGTATAAAACTCTTAATCACTTTCTTAATCACTATTTTGTAGTTATATAGGGATTAACTCTGAAATACGCGCTTCTTATTGAATGACGTTTCCACTAACTATAGTTAACTTTAATCACTTTTTATACAACCGGCCCCTGGGAGGTAATTATTGTTTTCAAAACAAAATGGCTGCGCGCCGAAAATCCACTTGCATGCAAACAAATGTTCGAAGAAAAAAATGAAGAAATTAAAGCACATTCTATTCCTCTAAAAGCAAAAGAAGCAAAAAATATATGGTGTTAACCTATTTCCGGAAGACATAAGCACCTTTTAGATGCTAAACAATTATTTATTTGGCAATTTAAAACCGGAAACTAACAGAGTCGGGGACAGAGTCAGAACAGTTGGTTTCGCTTGATTTGGAAGAGTGAAGTAAATTATATTTACAACGTTTGTATATATGTATTATTATTTTTAGCAGGATATTTATACTAAAACAATTAGTCACCTCACGATTGGTGATCACAAGACTATATTCACTTTGTTGCTTCACAACTCAGTGAATATAGGCTTGTAATCACCTCGCTAATTTCGGTGACTAATTTTTAAATAGTACCTTCCCTATTAAGACAGTGGTAAGCTTTTACGTTGACATTCTGAATTTCTCAACAGTGTTAGGAATTTCTATAAAGTTATTTTTTCCACTAAGCGAATTTATTCATGCGAAGAGAAAACAAATTTCGGTTTGTAAAAAATTCCAAATTTTTTAGGAAAATTATTTCGTTAACCAATCACATTGCCGATTTTTTTTTGACTTCCCACGAGCAAAGTCGCCTGGAAAGAAACAGGCTTATGTTAAAGTCATCATATAGTAATAATCATATACAATCGGAAACTGAGCAGAAAATGGACATGTTGCTAGGAATTAATGTTGCATGGCTTCGCGGATCTTGTCTGGATAAATTGCGCCTTAGCATTGATTTCTTTAATCTTTAATCTTTAAAATTCTTTAAGCCCGGTAGCCATTCAGCATGCTACGCTG